GGGTTGGGGAGCACAGGCTTGAGATGACAGCAGGCTGGGTGCTGTTGCAAAATCTGCCCATGTACTCATTTTCCCATTTCAGAAAAGCCCCTCTTACATCCGCCATCTCCAAGTTCTGCCTCCAGCTTTTGCTCTTGTTCCCTCTCATCACAAGGTCATCCCCTTGATCGGCCCCCACCCTGGTCTGGGCATCTCTGAGTCATGAGCACAAGGCTCTCCATTCCTCTTGCATGTGTTCCCTCCCAGATTTTCACAAGGCGCCAGCTGTCCTGGGAAAGTAGAAACCAGGACTCAAGCTCCTGGGAAACTGGACTAGGTTCTGTCCTGGCACCCACATCACCCATCCAGCTCCTTCCTCTGCCTTTCACCATTCCCAGTAGCTCCAGCATAGGAGCACAGAGATGTCCCTGAAACACCTGCTTGCGAGGAACTCGGAATGGAACATTGGTCTAAGGCCTGATGATGTATCATCTGGCAGTGGGGAAAAGCCTCTCTCATCCACTCCTGATCCTCAACTCCCTAGTCTCCCCACAACCCAGGACCACACACAAGCCCTATCTGGAGCCTTCTGACCCAGGCCAGAACCAGTTGCTGAACATGCAGTTCAGGGCGCCATGTCCCCCATGCCAGGGAGTTAGCCTCAGCCTCAGCCTCAGCCTCAGCCTCATCTCAAGTAGAGGAGGAGGGAACATTGCCAGTGCTGTATGAAAAGAGCTACCCCTTCAGGTTACAGGGGTTCAGGAGCCCCCCACCTAGAGGAGATTGTAGAGAAAAATGGGGAAAGACCAAACCTGTTGGCAGTATCTCCAAAATGTTTCCAGAGACCAACCACTGGACTTCTCCGAGGCCAGGGCAAGGAGTCAGGTGATCAGCAGCTGGAATCACATGTCTCACTTTGCCAGCCCCACCCCCACAGCACAGTCCCACCAGCCCACAAGAGATATTAGATGCAAAGCCTCCCAGTCCCATGGGGCCTTTCCTGTGTTTCCTTGGCTCCTAGAGGGAGCACTATGGCTGGGAACACCTTCAGTGATCATCCAAGTCACATTTCTTACCCCCGAGAACCTCCCAAGTTTTCTCATTACAGCAAGGGGAACCTTGAAGCAAAATTAGCATTCACCAGTCCACAGTCCTGTGCACTACTGGGTAACTCCCCTGAAAGCACTCAAACTCCCATGAGGCAGGACACAACGTATGGTTTACAGGGATGGACTAGGGTTACTGCTTCTTGCTCTCTCCTTTACCATTCTGGAAAGGTGCAACATGTAGGAGCATCTTGCAGGTCCCTCAAATGAATTCTGCCCAACCTCCCAATCACTAGCTAGAGAAGAACCCAGGAATTCCTGCTTCCCAGACTGATGAGTTCAGAGATGATATAGAAGACAGAAGAAAAGTAACACTTAGGCCCCACTAAATGGAGATAGTTACTAGCAAGGGGGTAAATATCAAATTTGGATATAGGTATGGCTGATTCGAAAGCTGAAATTCAAACAAAAAACCCTTTCTCACTCCACTGCACAAAACTACCTCCCCAGATAGGAAAAATGGTTAACTCACCTGGATTTAGGTTCACTTGTGCCAACACAGGATAGAGCAGTGGTTCCCAAACCTGGCCTCACTTTCAGAGATTCTGACTTATTTGGTCTGGGGTGGCCTATGTATCTACTCATCTACATTTGTGTGTGTGTGTGCATCTGTAGTTAGGAACCAAGGTGCGGGGACCACAGAATCACCCGGTACAAAATATGCAGAACCTAGGGGGTCCAGAAACCAGGGCTCAGCTATTGACTCTACCATGTACTTGTGGTGTGACCCTCACTCTTCCTGGATTTGTTTCTCACTATAAAAGCTGGAATAATATCTGCTCCATCAATCCCTAACATGGGATACTTGCAGGCGCAAAGCATAGAGACATACTTGAACAAGTGAGAAGAAAAGCAAAAGATGAATTTGAGGGACTTTCATTCTACTTGACAAAATTTAGTGAGCCCAAGATTTACATTCTGAAGTCAAAATAGTCTGTCTAGTTTGCAAGGAGAGTAGAGGCACACTAAAAGAAAACACTCAAAAAACTCTAATACACAGTATCTTACCAGTTAGCCATGCCCATTCAACCTTACCAATGTGAAAGTTTCCTTTGTTAGAAATCTCTTTATTGAAGGTATTTTGATGGAATACAGTTTAGCAATGTAGTTTGAGTAGCCTGTGAGAAACATCTATTATAAAGACTACTTAAGTGGGGATCAGAAAACTTGAGTTTCAATTCCTTCTCCTAAACTGTGTGATCTTGGACAAGTCATTTCCTTTCTAGGTTTGTTTTCTCATCTGTAAAGAGGACTAGGTTAGATCAGGGATTCAAAGATGCAGATTTATGAAGCCTCTGGGTGGTCTTTGTGAACCACTTGGGATTATATAAAAAATTCCACTTGTGTTTGTGTGTGTGGGCATTTTTCTGGAGAGGGGACTAAAATTTCATCTGATTCATAAAGNTACTTGTGTTTGTGGGCATTTTTCTGGAGAGGGGACTAAAATTTCATCTGATTCATAAAGGAGCTTATAACTAAATAAGGTTAAGAACTACTTGGCTACCAGGACTTCAGCTCTCATATTCTATTCACTACTCTACAAGTCCAGAAGCAAAGGTTAGGTGCTGAGGTATATATAAATAATTGAATCTGGAGTCCTAGGGCAAGATCATGACCCTGCTTTCTCCCATATAGTTCTGACCAGGTTTTATTTCTGTGATGATCTGAAGTGATTTGTTTCTAGTGGGCATATTGAATCAAAGCATCCCAAGGGCCTATGATCTGACCTCCTAGAGCTGAGTCACTCCTGCCTCAGTCACAAAGCCTTGAGACCAAATTGACTGCACCTGGACCCTAAAGGTGACTGCCAAGAGGGCCTCCAATTCTGTGAAAACACCACCTACTCCCACTTGGTAAGTTCCTTCTCCTTCCCCTTATAAATCTCCCCACTGGTCTGAAATTCCTCCCTTAGGGATTCGCTGCTTTGGTTTTGCAAAGTCTGAACACTGCAACCCAACTCCCTGGGGAAGAGGCAGGGCATTCTGATTCTAATTAACTAAAACTAGGAATGGTGGGAGCACAGGGAAATGACTGGAAGGGGAAGTGAGAGGGCCCCCGAGCTTTGCTCAGGGCCTCAGCAGTAGAATAGACTGGGACCAACCTCAAGGTCACAGGGAGTCCAAAGGGCTGTTTACACGGTGTGTCCTGCACCCCAAACAAGACCTCTTCCGGGGAACAGAACCTGGACCAAGGCTCAAATTCCACCCGAAGGCAGGGGTGTGGAGAGGGGCGCCCTACACCACCCCTCGTCCCAATTCTGCGCCCGCTCCGGCTCTGCGGTCAGGCCTGGCAGCACCCGCCCGCGGGGGCGCTCGTTCTCCGGCCACCGTGCGGCCCAGGGCAGGCGCCACCTTGGCGCGGCGTCTCCGCCCGCCGAGGCAACCCGAGCTCAGGGCTCTCTTTACCAAGATCAGGTCTTCAAGCCCTTTCGGCCGCGCGAGGGAGCGCGACATGCCCACGCTCCTCCGCCGCGGCCGAATCGCGAGGATCCCGCGGGCATCCCTTCCCGGACTCCTTGTCCCACAGGCACTCCCTGCCCACCCCTCCTTTAGCAAGATGGTGGCGAGTGCACTTCCGGCGAGTGTCCTTTAGTGCGAGTCCGGGCGGCGGCGGCAGGTGCCGCCCGACGGGTTCCATCCTCTTTGCTGCATAGACTGTAACGGTGATGGCGGGAGGACAGTGTGGCTGGAGCCGGGCGGCTCTTCTCCAGCTCCTTCTTGGGGTGAACCTGATGGTGATGCCACCCGTCCAGGCCCGGACTCTGCGCTTCGTTAACTTGGTAATGAGAGATGGGGTCGCCGAAGGGCTCGCCAGCGCTAGGACACAGGCTTGCTGGTGGAGGGAGGGGCGGGGCTTGCGCTGGAGTTGGGGGGTCTGCAGGCGCAGGAGTTGGTTTAGGAGATGGCTCACCTGCGGTTTTGCGGGCCCAGGTTCGGAATTGATGTGGAGCCGTGGGGTATTGAGGTGGGGGTGGGTAAGCTGTCAGGAGTTCTGTATCAGGGGATAGGTCGGGTAAGTCTGCCCTGGGACGGGGGTGTAGTGGAATGGTTAAGACATGCACCCCCTACAGGAGTCTTTGGTGATCTTTTTTCCAGTCCTCTCACCATCAGCCTTGCTTTTATTTCTTTTCCTTTCCCATCTGTACCTTTGGCTTTGCATATGGTCTCTGGGGTCATTGCTTAGCCATGTTAGGCTCTCTGGAACCTGGAAGAAGTTACTGACTTCTTAATTGGGATCTTTTGCAGTGGGTAGAGTTAAGGCTTTCTGGAGGGAGTGAGGCTTCCCTCCCCAACATGGGGCAGAGGTGGGCTCTGTGTCCCCATCAAGGAGACCCTTCTGACCCATAGGGAAACCATTTTCTTTCGTCAGCTGTACCGACATGGAGACCGATCGCCAGTGAAGACATATCCCAAGGACCCCTATCAGGAAGATGAATGGCCCCAGGGGTTTGGTCAGCTAACCAAGGTAGGTCAGAAGCCAGCCCTTCCTCAGTATGAGCTGTAGAATAAGTGATCTCTAAAGCAGGCTGCAGAACTCGGGACTCAACAAACTGCCATGACCAGATTTCTTACCCTTACTTTCCCAAGATAACGCCATGCACAACTGGCTATTTACTAAATGACTTCTGGAATCCCTTTAATACACTCCTACTTCCAGCCAGGAGTAAACTTGAAAAGCAACAGTGCCTAAGCTTCTGTGGAACTTGTGAGCCATGCCTAACCCTTGGGTTTGCCCACAGGAGGGGATGCTACAGCACTGGGCGCTAGGCCAGGCCCTGCGGCAGCGCTACCATGGCTTTCTCAACACCTCTTACCACCAGCAAGAGGTAAGGCCGGGAGCTCAAGATGTAAGGAGAATGGAATCTGCTGTCCTCACCCTCTGTCCTCAGGGAGCCTAAGGATGAGGCTGGGCACTCTGGCCTCTTTCCATGCATTTTTGGTTATAACTCCAGGACAAGACATCCAAGGGCTGTCTAGAACAAAACACTAGAGGCTGAGTTGCCTCTGCTTGGCTGGGAAGAGGCAAAACTTATCAAGCATTCAAGCTTGGACTTAAGGAGGGGTCTGGCAGAGTAGTGTCTGGCTCTGTGAAATAACTCAGGCTTTCCATTCAAGATACTTATTGACTATTTCCAATGGGCTAGTACTTTGCACATAATGGTGCACTGCACAGATAGGATCTCTGTCTTTGTGGAGCTTAGAATGTAATGGGGGTGACAGATAAACCACGCTGACCAAGAGATAAAGGTAGCAGGGAAGACAGAGAGGGCATGTCAGGGAAGATTGGCAAGCGTTTTGGCTCCTTGAAGCCCTCTCCCCACCCCAAGGATGGGGATAGGTGTTCCTCTGGTTACCACTCTCAGCCACGGCTGTCTCAGGAGTCTCTAGATGTTGTTATTGTTCCCTTGAGGGCCAGCTCTGTCCTGATCTTGCCCTTCCTCACAGCTTTCTCCTTTTTCCACAAGCAGTTATCTCTGTTCCTTATTTCCTCTCCCTGGTCTCCAAGACAGTTTATAAAAGGAGGTGTGAATGGAGATAGTTTCTGCTCTCAAAGATCCTGGCCTAAATAGGGAGACAGGATAAAACTAGACAGACAGACCAGAAAGCCTTACTGACTAAGCACTTTGGACTGGGAGGGGCATTTGAACTAGACCGTTCCCACAGGAGCTATCCTCAGAGTAGTGACAGCTTGCCCCCAGCTGAGTGTTTGGGCCTTTGCTGGGAAGAGGAATGGGGAAGGCCAGAGAGGGTGCAAGGGCCAGATGCATGGTGGGATTACAATTTGTTGGGTAACCATCAAGAACAGGTTCTCCCCCTAGGGTCCCAATGAGGAGCCAAAGCTCCCCACCCCACCCCCACAGGAGAGAATCATGTTGTCATCTCTTCAGGTTTATGTGCGAAGCACTGACTTTGACCGTACTCTCATGAGTGCTGAAGCCAACCTGGCTGGACTTTTCCCTCCCAATGAGATGCAGCGCTTCAATCCAAACATCTCTTGGCAGCCTATTCCCGTCCACACTGTGCCCATCGCCGAGGACAGGGTAAGACTGGCCAGCCCTTCCCTGAAGGTAGTGAGGACAGCTCTGGCCGTGGGCCTGCTGACCACTGACTCCCTCTTTGCCTCTACTTCCCTCTTTTGGTCTACAGCTGCTGAAGTTCCCATTGGGCCCATGTCCCCGTTACGAGCAGCTACAGAACGAGACCCGGCAGACAAGAGAGTATCAGAATGAGAGTATTCAGAATGCAGTGAGTGGGGCTGAGGTGGAGGGCATCACACTGTCCTTTATCCCAGGGCAGGATTGATCCCCTGATCCATTTTTTATAGCAATTTCTGGATATGGTGGCCAATGAGACGGGGCTCACGGACTTGACACTGGAGACCATTTGGAACGTGTATGACACACTTTTCTGTGAGGTGAGCCCGTTTAGAGTCCCCAGTGTGACCCTCTCCTCTTATACTCAGCAGGCCCCAGTGATCAGAACATGGAGAACACAATGCCTGCCTACCATTCCCACTGGGGAGATCCAGACAAGCCACCTGCTTCTTGTGAAACAAGGGAACTTCCCCCAGGGGTGAAAAAGAACCCCAGAGTGGGAAATAGTTTATTAATAGTCAGCAGTTCCTGCCCTTTCCACCCAGAACTCTGGTGGTATTTGACTCCATTCTGCTGAGTCACACTTTTTGTGCCTGAGCCTCCTTTCCTGTGCCCTGCAGCCTCAACACTGTCTGCCATGTCTCCTGGTTCCAGTCCCTCTGCCTCAGCTCTCCTCTCCTCTCCCTCCCCTCTCACACACACACAGGCACCTTCTCACTGGGGAAGAGAGATGCCCCGGGAGAGGCTCTGGCCTAGGCCAGGGAGCTAACCTGCCTGCTGCGATACGCAGAAAACACATGGGCTGGTCCTGCCACCCTGGGCCTCACCCCAAACCATGCAGCGTCTGAGCCAGCTAAAGGACTTCAGCTTCCGCTTCCTCTTCGGGATCTACAAGCAGGCAGAGAAGGCCCGGCTTCAGGGGGGTGAGTGACAAGAACAGCGTGTCACTCCCTTCCTACAGCATTAAAAATCTGACATCGAGGGCTTCTCACACACTTTTCCACCCAAAATGTTCTCTCCTCTTTCGAAATACTTTACATCCCCCTAGTCATGCCGTTAGTCACCAAAGTCTCCCTAATTCGCCAAATGCTTAGTATGCTTGTCACTATGATCGACCACAATCAGGTTCGCCTGCTTTTCTGCCATTCATATTAAGTTTCACTCGTGTCTGAAGACCCTTCCCTCTTAAATGAATACTCAGCTCTGGAGAACCACTGGGGACCACTCTAAGGAAGGCTGAGAGTAATGCATGTGCCAGCTTCCTGCTTTGAGCACCTAAGGGGGAGCTGCTATCAGACCTTTCTGACATCTCACTGTTTTTCAGAGCCTACATATGGCAGAGGTCCCTCGGCCTGGAGCCACCACCTTGTGTGTTCTGAAGCAGTCTTACGTTTATATTTGTTCCAAATTGGAGGAATTGTTCAAACATGGGCAGGGCCTCAATAGCTTATGTTTATCTTGCTTCCCTCTGTAAATTTGAAAGTTGTCAGAGAGCAGGGCGTTCCTCTGTGGCTCCCAAGCACCTAAAGAGTTCTCTGTATCAGTGATCAGACTCCAGACTAGCAGAGGGTGACAGGACCACAGATAGATCTGTTCAGAAGACGGTGATGGCTGTAGCCACTGACACTGGGGACTCTTCTCCTTCAGGAGTCCTGCTGGCTCAGATACGGAAGAACCTGACGCTGATGGCAACCTCTTCCCAACTCCCTAAGCTGCTAGTTTACTCTGCGGTAAGCTCCCACAGTCCCCAATGTGCTAATGTCAAACAAGAAGTTGGATTTCTTCTCTATTCAGTGCCTGGGGGTGTGGGGGAGCAGTGCTAATGGGGATCCCTTCTCCCTTACAGCATGATACCACCCTGGTTGCTCTGCAAATGGCATTGTCTGTCTACAATGGTAAACAAACCCCATACGCCTCCTGCCACATATTTGAACTGTACCAGGAAGACAATGGGTGAGTGGAGCTACCAGTCTGCCCTCTGGAGGGGCACTCGCATGGTGGCTATGGGCAGCCTAAGGACTCTGTTACAGGCCTGGTGGGTAGCTCCCACCTTGTCTCCCATCAACCCTCAGGAATTTCTCAGTGGAGATGTACTTTCGGAATGAGAGTAACAAGGCCCCCTGGCCGCTGAACCTGCCTGGCTGCCCTCACCGCTGCCCACTGCAGGACTTCCTGCACCTCACAGAGCCTGTTGTGCCCAAGGACTGGCAGCAGGAGTGCCAGCTGGCAAGTGGTCCTGCAGACACAGGTGAGCTGCTGCCTACCTGACTAGTCATGCCCCAGAACAACTTTAAATTTATATCCACAAGTCTAGAAGAGCTGTCACACTTCCAGCCATCTTATTGCATTTCCCTAGTTTACTATCCTACCCTAAAACCATTCCACCTTCTCCCTAATGATGCTGAGGGGATGCCCTCACTTCTTATAGCACCGAGAAAGTAAAAATCAGGAGAGAACTGTCCCATTTTCCCACCATGTCTTCCAGCTTCCTTCCTGGTGTAAGCTGCTACTTAAGGCTTCCTTTCTCCAGTTGTCCTCTGAGCCCATCTCTTCTCAACTCCACAAGGACCTCTGATGTCTCAGCGTTTCCTCTCTGGTGGATCAGTCCCATCTCAAAAGCCTAATAAAAACCTCTCGGACCCCCATCTTTCTCCAGCTACCACTCTGTTTCTGTTCCCTGTTAGAGTGCAATCCTTCTGAGTTGCCTAGACTCTGGTTTCACTTCCTCACTGCCCATTCTCTCAGGCTCACCCAGGATAGTCTTGTGTCCCCTTTCACTCCATTAACTTTTGTTAAGGTCCAGTAACCTCCTCTTACCAGTGACCAGTTCTTAGCTTCTCTCACCTCTCAGCAACATTATATACCTGGTCATTCCTTCCTTAAACTGTCTTGCTTCTCTGAGTTTTCTCCTCACTTATAGGCACCTTCCTTACTGGCTTCTCCCCACTAAACAATGGATAGCCCAGGGTTCATCGTGGCCCTTTTCTCATCTCTGCCCACTCCCAAGGTGATCTCATCCAACCTCATGACTGTGTATACCATCTCCACACTAGGTTCTGTCTTTTGTGACTTGCAGATTCATGACCTCTTCTCTGAGCTAGACTAGCATATCCAGCCAGCTGCAGACTTGAGGTCTCTACATGGATGTGACATCTCAAAGTTGATATTGGAAACCAAATGCTCTTCCCCCTGAAATCTCTTCTTCCTCTAGGCTTCCCCATCTAAGTAAATGCCACATCAGTCACCTAGTTGCATAGTATAATCCTAGGATTTATCTCGAATACTCTTTCTTAGACCCCACAACCAGTCCACTTGGAGATCCTAGGACCTCAAACTTAAAAATGCATACCCTTACCTTTAATAGTACTAACTCACTGTCTGACTTCTCTTTGTTCATTGCATTTACTTCTAAAATGCAACATCAGACTGTAAGGCCCACTTGGATTTGGCTCTGGCTTTCTGTAGGAGACAGTCAACAATTCTCCGCCCAGTCAGAACTAGCACTCCTGTGTCTATAGAGCTGTGTCTTTTGGATCTGCAGCTTTTCTCATTTGGGGGAAGGTAGCATTACTCTGTGGCTAGAAATCTGGGTAGTACAACTTTGTGGCTAAGAGCACAGATCTATGTCAGACCTTACGTTGACTCCTGCCTGCCTTCTTGTCGTCAGACTTTTGGCAGGTTGTTTAACCTCTTCCAGAACTTTCATTTTATCAATTACAATAAAAAGCCTACCCTGAGAAAACAAAACCAAAAAATATGCTCTTGCTCCCTAGTCCAATATACCACCATCTCTTGCCTGAACTGATAAGCTTCCTAATGTTCCTTCGTGTCCCTACCAGTCTCTCAGTGTAGCAGAGTTAATGTCTTTTAAAAAGTGGGTCAGTTCACATTACTACCCTTCTCAGAATCTTTCAGTGGCTTCCCCTCACATTTGGATTAAAATCCAGGTTCTTTACCACTTGGGCTGGTCTTCCACTTTCATCTCCTACCTGCACCTCACTTACTCTGCTCTAGTGATACTTTCTTTTTTTCAAATCCTCACCTGAGGGTATTTTTTTCTATTGCTTTTCAGAGAGTGGAAGGGAGAGAAACATTGATATGAGACACATTGATTGGTTGCCTCCTGCACACACTCGCCCTGACCGGGGTTGGGGACTGAACCTGCAACCAAGTTACATGCCCTTGGCTGGAACTGAACCCTGGACCCTTCAGTCCACGGGCAGATGCTCTAACCACAGAGCCAAACCGGCTAGGGCCAGTGATACTTTCTTGGTGATGCTAGAACATGCCAGGCTATCCCCGCCTCAGAGCCTTTCGTACTTGCTTCCTGTCTGCTCTCCTCCCCAGCACAGGACCCTCTCCTCTCAGATCTCTGTATGTCTCACTGGCTCCAGGTCTCTGTGCAGATTATCCCCGGGGGTACCTCCCCTGACTGACTTCTCCATCCCTTCCCCCTTCCCTCGCTTTGCTTTATGGCATTTGTTACCAACTGCGGGGACCCTGAGTGTGGGAACAGCCCCTGGTGTGGGAGCGGGCACGCGCCTGCCGAGTGAGCTGACCGCCCTCTCCTGCCCGTGCCTAGAGGTGGTCGTGGCCTTGGCCGTGTGCGGCTCCATCCTCTTCCTTCTCGTGGTGCTGCTGCTGACCGTCCTCTTCCGGATGCAGGCCCAGCCTCCTGGCTACCGTCATGTTGCAGACGGGGAGGATCATGCCTGACAACCACTCGGCCCCCTTCCCTCTGCCTCCTAGGGGAGGTGGGCTCGGCCCTCACTCCTGACTGTTGCTGCTCCCCAGCCCACGGAACTGGAGACCCTGGGCTGGGCGTCCCTCTGATTACCCCAACCGAGATGAACAAGTGGGACTCAGCTGGCCCATGGCACCTGTCACTCAATGTTCATGTGCCCAATGTCTGCCAAGTACTGTGTTGGATATGGGCTCTCCCCAAATAGGATTTGCCTCCTCCATGCTCCCTAAGGACCTGAAATGTAGACAGATATCCAAGTTTCACTCCAGATCTGGGATAAAAAACACTGAAGGAGTTGGTGCTTCATCTGCTTTGCCCCCCACTTCAATCAAGACCTCTTTCTCTTCTAGCCCAGAGTCTTTGACAAATGGCTCAGAAGACACAGTCTTGCCTCTCAGTGCTTATTTTACTGGGGAAAACTGCATAACATTGGGGGCACAAATACTGGCCACCAAGGAACCAGATCACCCAACAGCCAGCCAATCAAGTTTCCCTTTGTCTAGCTGAAGCCACCATTAGAGTCAGACATAGTGCCTCAGGCATCCTGGTGACCCTGTAGCTTGAGCAGGTCAAAAGGGTGTTTGTATTTGGGAGGGAGTTGGGGGAGGTGGGAGGAGAATGAGTGGTGGTACAGTCATGAAACTGCTACCCCTCTCAGCTGGGTTGGGGTCTCCAGGGATGTGAGGTAAGTGCAGGTGGTAAGCTGGACTGCTGTTGACTGTGGCCCACAGTAGGGCTGAAGTAGCTTGAGAAAAATGAAAGTTTTGGACTCTTAGTGCTGTTTCTCTGCCTTTTCTTCATTTGGGAGACCCAAGAGCGCTTTGACCAGTTCAGTGCTGGAAGGTCCACTCAGAAGCTCAGCTGGGTATAGTTTTATTGGCATGTCAATAGTGAGCACAAATCAAAACCCAACACCTGATCATTTTGCCACCACACGTCAGGGAGGAGAAAAATCCCTTGGCTCCAGGAAGAGCTTGGCTTCAGGCTAGATATAGCAGGGACCCTTGGGGGAGCTGGGTCACCAATTCTGGAGAAGTTTATGGAGCTAAGTCCAGAGCAATAACATGCCAGAGTCCAAGCCCCACAGTATCCCATGCCACAGCATCCCTGCTCCAACCCTAAGGCTTGGATACCTTTGGCCCTTTAACACATAGCTGCCTCTTTTCGCAGGACTTGTTCTCATGTGGCTCCAAGCTGCTGCTTGGCCCATACCTTCATTAATGTCTCACTTCTGCATCCCAGCTTCCTCCTGGCTCCAAATGAGAATGTGATAACCTAGGAGGAGTAAGACCAGTCTGACTCACCTGTTATCAGTCTCTCAGAGCTCAGGGCTGGCTCAGGGCTGGCTCAGGGCTGGCCCAGGGCACCTAGAACTTGGTAAGGAAATACCTGGAAATGGCAGCAGCTGGGCATTGCCATGACCAAGACCAATCGCGGGGTGTAGGGCCTAGGCCACAGAGACCACAGGTTATCGTCACTGACTGTTACCCTGGGCACATGTGGCAGTGCTAAGCTGAGGTTAGCTTGCACTGAACTTTGAGGAGTAGGGTTGGGCTTGACCAGTCTGAAATACAACCTACTTCACTTACCCATCAAAGAGGCCAGCGTGTCCCCCATAGGATTGAACTCATTAAGCTGCATAGACAAAGGGATAAGCATGAGGAAGGGGTGAAGGTATTGGGAGAAGGGCACATGAGGACTAATTTTTGGTCAATAAGGTAGGTTGAACCCCTGCTTCCTCCCATCATTATTTGAGGGCCCAAGCCTCACCGAAATGATACCAGAAGATTCTGGGTCATAGAGCTGATGCATCAATTTCCCTGAGCTTCCATCAAACACATCGATCGTCCTTAATTCATAGGGGGTACAACTTTTGAAATTAGGATCTGGGTATCTACCCACAACAATGAGGTTGTACCGAGGATGCCAGGCTGCCTAGGAGATGGAAAGGCTGGTCATGAGAGTAAATGCAGAACACTATCAAGAGGGACATCAAAAGTATTCTTTGCCATTAACAGTGGTTAATACAGTTGCCAATAACTTAATAATGGAGGTAAGATCTACATGAAACTACAAGAATGGTTTTCAGTTACGTATACGTCCACCATTATAAATCTTAAATCCCCATCTGGCCTCCATGGGCCTTAGGACACCATCAGGCCTTCTCCCTTGCATTTGCTGAGATACCAACTGATAAATGTTTTAACATCAGCCTGACCCAGACATTAATGAAAGAGGTAAGCCTACAACAAAGGAAAGAGCCTCTGGTAACCAAAACCAAATAGAACATAAGTTCTGAAGTAACCCCACTACTATCTCCATCAAAGAGAATGACGAAGAGTTGAGTAGAAAATGGCTTGTGTCTGAAAAGGGGAGGAGGAAACCTATGCTCCCCAGATTACCCCACTCAAAACAAATCAGACAGTTATTGGAATGACAGGTTCTTCTCACAGGAGTTTTGAAGGAGGAAAGATATGGTAAGCAGGAAAGAAGAAGTGGTACACCCAAAGACTTGGAAATAAGTCACAAACCAGTCAAACCTGGGAAGCTGTAGTTGGCTTCACTAGATATGAAGTGAGAGATGACAACAGATGAATCAATGGGAACACAAATAGGTTAAGGACCCTAATGCTATTAGAACTTGGATTTGATCTGAGGTATGTGGGGGCCATTCTAATACTAACTCATCACTGTTTACCGAGTACCTGCCAGGGAGTAGGCATGTGCCATATGCTCTGAGTGTACTGATTCAGCTTCACAGCAGCCCGTCAGGTACCATTACTCCCTTCTTGGAGATGAACCTGAAATCCCAAGGTCTGGCCCAGAGGGGCCTGCCTGCCTGAAGCTGCTGCCCCTCATCATTGTGCTATACTGACCAAAGTAGAGGCATGAAACCTGGAGGCTGAAGAGAGGCTGTGGTTCTGGAAAAGAATATGAAATAGTAGAGGGGAAGAACTGGCAGAGTCCAGACTGCTTAGGGTCTTGGGCAGGAAGGAATCACAGGACTTGATGACTGTAAGCCATGGGGTCTGAGGCTAGAGAAGCCCCTAATAAGAAGGCGGCTAAGGTTAGCTTGTAGATCAGTTGTACACAGGGAACAAACTGAGGGCAGAACAGAGGGTCAGGATCTCAGAAAATGCCCTCAGTGAGGAGATCAGGGCTGTGTTGAAAAAAGTTAGGAAAACAGCTTATCAGAGAGACAAAAGAAAACCCAGCAAAATGGGATCGCAAAAGCGGGACCAAAGGAGCAGAGAGAGCCAGGGGATAAGAAACTACTTTGTGTTAGGGCAGGAGGAGATCTGAGAGGAAAGGCCTCTGTAACCTGTCCTTTTCCCACCTTGGGCAGACCTGATCGGTCCCCCAGATCTGTCCCCATGATCACCACTCTCTACTCCATCACTTACCTTGATGGGTGTCAGGTGCTGGAAGTGGCGGTGAGGGTGTGGGATTAGGCTTGGGGGGCAGTCCCACTGGGAGGCAGAGTAAATCCGGATCTCACTCTTCTGGTCGGTGGTCAGGAGCTGGGCTCCATCGGGACTGAAATGAGCTGGCAAGTGAAAAGACCCTGAGGTGAAGGAGCTACAGGCCTTTGTTGTCCTGGCCTTCTGAGGCCTTCTCTTGCAGGGACACCCTCCCTCTCATTCCTCTCCTGACAAGGGTAGAAGGGAGAAGGTGAATCTGGGCTGTAAACAAAAACATTCCAGAACTCAGCAGCGGATGGGGGCACTGGAGTCAGAAAGGTTTCAGCTTGGCAGATGCTGTCAGGGGTAAAGGTTTAACCGAGCGGCTTCTAAACTTTGAGGGGAAAACCCAGGGGCAATGGGATAGGCAGGGTGTACAGGAGGGATGAGGTATATCACACCTGCGTTGACAGGATGCCTGTGTGGTAGCGAATAGAGGAAGCTGGATTTCCCTTTAACCTGGCGCAGGTCCCAGATTTTCACTGTCTGATCTACAGAGGCTGTGGCCAGGAGCCAATCACAGCATGGGTTCAGGGCCACATGGGTCACTTTCTTTTTGTGCATTCTCAGATTCCAAAGCTGCAGAGAAAAGCTTGGGTCAGGTGGGGGCAGAGAACCAAGGCTGGGGTAAGGGAGGGAAGAGGACCCGGGCTCCTGAGAACGCACCTCCTTGCCATCCATGGTCAACAGGATCACGTGACCCACATTGTCTCCTGTGACCACCACTCGGCTTTCGGCAGACACATCCAGGCTGCAAAACCAGAAGCTGGAGGGAGAGACCATGCTGTAAGGTTCTTGGGGAGAGGCAAGGTCCTTTTATTCACTGTTGCAGCTCCAGTGTCTAACACATAGAGGCATTCAACAAGTATTTGTTGAATGAATGAGTAGCTGTCTTGCCATGGTCTCCCAGTAAAGAACAGACTTGTCTACCACCCAGACAGAGGGTATGGGGGTGATGGGGCTTAGAAATCTGTCCGCTGGGCCCAGGATCCTCAGTTAGTATGAGTCCCTGAAGCAGCCGAACCTCAGAGCTATAGGCAAGTCCCCACGTTAGCCTGCCCTACACAGCCCTGGGTTCTGAGGAAGGCTCCTTTATGATTCTCTCCTTTATTCTCCCCCTGTTGAGCCAAAGGAGGTGACAAACCAAATGGGGACTACCCAGCTCTGTTCCTCAGAGCTGGCTAGAAAGGAACTTCTGCCCCCTTCTGAATATTTAGGGGAAAAGGCACACATGACCCAGGAGCTGTCTGGCTCCTGTCCCTCAGACTCCTTGAGGATGAAAAGGATGGGGAGGGGGTGCTTCAGGGATCCCAATACCCAGCCAGGAGAGCTCAGATTCATGTTTTTTCTCTCAAACTTCAAATCCTTGCTACACTGCCTTTTGCATCCCCTGTAAATATCTTCCAGAGGGAGAGTTTCTTGTGGAAGAGAAACCTGGAGCTGAGTCTATTCCGTCACCTGTCCTGATTGCATGTGTATTTCTTACCCCTGTGGGGCAGTCCAGGGTACCATCCCATGATAGTTAGACCCCCACACCCTCAGTTCCTTAGGGAGCAGGGTCGTGTCTCTGGCTAGAAATCAAAGTGACAGGCATTTTGTAGTTTCTACAACCACTTGCTCTTGGAGAGTCCAAAGTGCCTTATATGGACCTGATTCTATCCATTTAAGCTTCATGGAACTGGTTGGGTCCTCACCCCTGTGGATGCAGGGTATGAAATTTAAGTTCCTATTTCCTGCTCTAGGTTTTAAGTGGCTATCTAGGCCAATGCCACATTGACCTGTCCAGTGAGAATCAAAGTGTCGTCTGATACAGGAATGACTTACAGAAGAGCTGAAGCCCTTCCCTTGCTGAGAAGAGCTGAGGTTCCAGAATTCCTCCCCAAATTAGTAACCCACCTGGACCAGATAAGAGCAGCTAAGCAAAGAGTTTGAGAAAGAGACAGATAGAAGGACTGGATAGAAGGACTGGGATCTGGGCGCCCTTGCCAGAACCACACTGAGCACCTAGAAGCCCTTTCCCCTCATTGTGAAACTACTCACTTGCAGGTGCCATAGCTGGTATAAACTTGGAGAGTGTTGCCTTTAAAGTCTTGCAGCCTCGTTGTTCCCTCCATTGAGGCAGCGAAAAACTGGTTGGTATTGAGCGGGTTAAACTTCAGCCCGGTGATGCTCCCTCCAGCTCCAATCTAACACAGGGAGAGAGGAGCCAGTGAGTGGTGATACTCTGCCCAAGAGACGTGCCAGGCAGGCAGCACTTGGGGCCAGGCCAGTTTACATGCCTAGACCCGAGGATGCTCTCCACAGTGCTGCTTCT